TCCTCCTCCCTCCCCTCCCCCTCCCCTCCCCCCCCCCCCCCCCGCCTTCCCCGCCGGCTCTTCTTTTCCTCCTCGTATTCGCAAATGCGATCCCGCGGAATGAGCCGGCTCTCGGGCCGAGTTGCCCGCCAATAATAATTCTTACCGGATTCAATTTGAATAATGCCGCGTGCGGTTTCCATCGGCATGCCCGAGCAGGCCTTATTATCTCACGTACCAACTCGCCTACTCGATATCCATTGATGGTACACCACCTCACTTCGCCGGCCACCATTATATTCTCCCTCCCTCCCCGCCACCCGCATCTTTCTCGTCTCCCTCCCTCCCCCCCTGCGACCGAAGTGATCTACGCTTCGGTTTTCTGTTCGCGCTTCTCTCGCGCTGCTCCCCGGCTAGTTTCACGCCGAGCCGATCGTTACGATATTCCTGAATTTATTCCCGACCGCCTTCATTCGCGCTTCGAATACGTTGGCTCTTGCTGTTGCGGCCTGCGCTTTTGTCACTGCGACTCGCAGGAAATTCTCTCGCATCGCGACGAAAAGTTTGACGGATTAATAGTTCTTGCTTATTTATTGTTTATATTTTTATATTATTATTTTTTGTTTCAAATTATTGTAACGCAATAGTTATCTTTACTGTGGCACAATTTAATGTACATTACTTTAGAGCAAAACTCCACTGCCACTCGAGATAAAAATATTTTATACATAAAAATATCCGATACGTAAGATGCATTAAATGGGAAGAAAAGTGAAAAGGCGTAGCTGTACTAATCAATAAGTAATTGATTTAAAAAAATCAAAAAGCTCATAAAAAAGACTCTATCCTCCTGAACATGCTTATTATTATTTTACATCCTTTAAACGAATCATCGTTCTCGCAGTACTATGTAGCGACTGGCACAAGTATTTCCAGACTCGTCTTTTCTCGTACACGCTATATCTCGTAAGATATGCGCCTCGTCATGGTCCGTGCAGAGGACTTGTGCGTCTTCTTTAGGCTCGCATAAGGGGCGCGAAATACTGACCAGCTGACGACAGATCGGCGAGAAAAAGTCGAGATCCATCGATTGAACGCGTCAAGAACGCTACATAAATTATTACTCGCTTTCTTGCTCGACTTCGAAATCCGCCAAGCGGCCGTGAACGAGGAAAAACATTAAGTACAACAAACACCAATGTATTCAAACGTATTCTACCGATTTACTCTCAGTCGCAAATTCTTCATTAAATCATAATAATTACAGAATAATAACAAATATTAAGAAATAATTATAATAATTTAAAGAGGAAAAATCGATGCAATCTTTTTTCGATTTCCCTAGCAAATACTTTAATTTAAGGTAACATTGATATATGCGTACCTTAAATATTTTATTATTATTTATTGGTCGTTTTACTTTCGATTTATTTGCTTGCGCGTGTATTACACGTGTATATATTGTGCGACTGCAAAAAATAAAATAAATAATTCGGAAAAAAAATGTAAACGGCAAAACTATTTTGTCCAATCCTGTACTTTCGCGACCATTGTTCTCTCTCGTGAAGTAATAATGCAATTCTTTATTTTACAAGATACCTAATGGCTCACTCGTAGCACCCTCTGAAACATTAAAAGCGTAAAACCTCGTCTCCGTCGTAGCAACAACGACTTCGTGTGCCAGTGACTTCGGTAAAATGTCAACCTCGATCTTTCCTCACGCGTTGGTATAATGTCCTTTCAACCCCTTTTAAAACCCCTAAGAAGTAACAGTTACCGGGTAAGAGGCGGCTTTCTTCTGTAGCCTCATCGGCCTCAATACTTTCGTGAGAAAGAGGCCCGTACGTGACAAGCGTGTAAAGAAAAAAGTGTCTTTTATCTTTCGCCATTAATCGAACATTCGTGGAGTATGAATAATAAAATCATCATTGTACATACATCGGCATTAAAATAAAGATAAAATACTTCATACTGACTACTTTAAATTGAATACTTCAGATTAAAAAGGAAAAGGTTAATCGTTAAATTTAAATTCAATTAAATAAAATTATTTTTTAAGATTTCAATTTCTGTATATTTAATCTTGCCGTTTAATGTCTTGAAAATTAATTTTTACTTGTCGATTAAAAGATTTCAAAACTAAAGCAGGCATTCGTGTTGACGTGATGTTTGTAAATAACAATTTAATGAAATCAATTTATGTCTACGATGGAGAAATGCGCTGATATCTCCTCCGCGTTGAAAAATAACAATATGTACAAATTGTTCGAAAAACAATAACAAATCGTTATATCAGCCGTTTCTGTTCAAACCAAAGGGTTTCTTGCACACCCATTCGCCTGGTTATTGATTACCTGTCGTAGGAATCAAACGAGGGATCGACCGGACTTGCGGTTTGAAAGAAAGATCATTGTAGCACATGCGTCCCAAAGGGGCGCTTTTTATTGAACCTATTATAAAGGTTTCCCAAAAGTTTCTAGTGCCGCGCCCCTTGCCTTATCCACGCGAAGCACATTATACGCTGAGCTATCAAACGTAACCGTAATAATGACGGATTTAACAATAATCTACAGATTAAAAAATTGAAAGATATAAATCATCGATGAGACATCGAACTACATTATTCAACGCCAAAATAAAAATTCGCTGTCAATGCACAGTTTAATATTTTAATTAAATTCTTAAGCTGACTACTGACATAAGATTAAATATTTTCATGTTTCATATTATCCTTTTTTAAAGAATAATACAGCAAGATTTCTCTCTTCATAAAATGACAGAATGTACTACAATTAAATAAAATTAGTTGGAGTAAACATTTTCTTATTTTTCCAAGCTACCATCCGTCGAACGCCTTGAGTGGTAATTTACGAAGTTAAAAGCCCTGATGCGACTATTTCGCATCAACCGCGACGCGTGAGTTGTAAAAAAGGTGCAATCCGCGCGCGTCCTTGTTCCTCGCGGCGGCAACACCCCCTCCGATTCGCCCAGTCGTTTGCGATTCAATACGACACAAAAGTCGGCCCTGAGAGAGTCGCCCGAGACGAAAGGGACAAAACGACCTCGGCACGTAGCGCAGCCCTCCTCTCTTACCCGGGAGGGAGCCGCAACGCGGTAAATCGAGAAGCCGCGCCTGTGGAAGTTAGTCCCGGGCGCGGACGAGCGGAGAGGACTCATGATTCAGTTAGGAGTTTGAGGTTTGAGGTCTGGCCGTCATTATGTCGCCTGCCGCCGTAAGCTGGCGGCTGCCGTCCGACGAAGACGAAGCGAGAGAAGTGGCGGTGGTGCTGCAGCAGCAGCAACAGCAGCAGCAGCAGCAGCAGCAGCAGCAGCAGCAGCACCAGGAGGAGGAGGAGGAGGAGAAGGCAGAGGTGAAGGAAGTGGAAAGAGCCTTCAGGACGAGAAGGAGGCGGTGGTGGTGATGGCAGTGGTGGCGGACCGGGAGGGCAGATGGAGAAGGTGGAGCAGGAGGAAAAGAAGGAGAAGGGCAAAAGCGAGGAAAGAGGAGGACAAAAACGAGGCATTAGCACTGCCCGTGCTACCGTGTGTTGCACAGTCCGCTCGACCGCCCGCTGATGCCCATTTCTACTTACCAAATTAGCATTATTATCCTGCGCGCGCGCGCAAACCGCGCAAAAATGCAATCAATGTGTATATCTGTTTGTCCGTACGTACGCGGGTTATATATACATACGTATGTATATATACATATATACATATGTTTATATATATATATATAAACCAAAAAGGAAGGTGCCGACCCCCGCCGGCCGATCCGCGTCGGCGCGGCGCGGCGCACCCGCCGCGCGCGGACCCGGTGTTAACGACCCTGATTTCTGCGCTTCGCCGAAGACGTACGAGTTCTTGCGCACCGGCACGCTACGCTTTATGCGCGTCGCGATTCCTCACCGTGCCATTCTGCTACTGCCATACGCGCCGCGAATCACTCGGAAAATTCGTAACGAGTATCGAGATTATCGTCGACCTCGCCAGATCATCTCGCAGTCGGCTGCTGAAAGCGAATGAGTATCTGGCTTCTCTCATGGCTCATCACCGATGAATTTTACATCTGACTGGACGTACAGATGTACTCGAGTTATTCTAAATAATGCGAGGAGAAGTGACAAATTCCACTTCTGCGAGAGTGGTTTTGCTATATTTCATAAATTCATTATGGAAAACTATTTTGTTGCGTCTGTAATTTATTAAACAAAATGACGCGCAGAAGCTGCCGTTATATTGGAAGTCGATTTCAATCTGTCGAGGTAACAGCGGCATTAATGACTACATAAGTTTAATGCGTTATTCAGTGACTCGACTCAATGATTATTGTAATTTAAGTACTACAAATTCAAGTTTTTATACGCACAGGCGCAATGTATCTGCCAAAAAGACAGACAAAATATTCCTTTCAATGTAAATTAATATTTATTCCTGATTTTTGACAGCGAGAAGTGTGCATCGGCTTCGAAGCCCCATCAACAACCAATATTTCTTTTCAATCAAAATAATATGTGCACATAATGAGCTCTACGCAGCTACGCAATCTTTCATAAGAGTGTTAACATTTCTTTCAAGGAAATAAAATTGATTGTAAACATTCTATTTTCAATCATGGAACTGTCTTCTCTCTCTGAAAGATCGCATTGTACGAACTCGTCGGAGCTCATTATGCAGCAAATTTTATTTCGAACGAAAAATGACATCGGTTCTTGCGTTAAGCAGAACCGTAGTAATAATATAATGTGACGATAGAGTGAATATAGGGTTTATGAGATTTATGAAATTAATAAATATGAAATTTGATCCTCTCGTGAAAATGCTAATGAATAATACAACGAAGAGTGACAAGGAGTTTCACAACGTTCCGATGTTTGCTTCATTATGATACATTAGCATAAAAAAAACTGACACATGAATCAAGACAACGTCACTTATACATGTCCTATCGAGTGCACAAGTAGTTCGATCGAATTACCTGTGACAGATTCGTTAACGTCCCCGTAACTCTACATCGCCGGACACGTGGGATAACACATGTATGCGCGCGTCCCGCGGCGTAATTAACACGCGCTCGCCGCGAGAGCAATCCGCCGCGAGAGTGAAAGGTTCGGAGTCGTGGCGAGAAGGCGTGTAGTACATCGGACATAGAGCATGCCCGACTTTAGACACGGCCGCAGACACCCGTGTCGCGCCGTGGCACGCGCGTATGTGTATTCCGCATACAGACGCGGCAACACACAGGCGCGCGCACACGCACGCACGCTGTACGACAGCGGCGCAGGGACTCGACTTTGAAAGCCTCCGGGCATGTAAGACGTATAGGCTACCCGTTTTACGCATCTCGCCGCTACACGAGGCATACATCACTCCACGCGCGTGAACTCCACACACGCGTTTTCGTCGCCGAGCCATTTAGGCGCCTCTCGCCGCCCTTCCCCGTCATTCGACTCTCTTTTTCTCTCTCACTCTCTCCCTCCCTTCTCTTTCTTTTGCGTGCACGCGCGCCTTGATAATTATTATTACCGAAGGATAAGAACAAGCCACGCTGCGGCACACGGCGAGATAAACAGCGGGGATCAGTGCGTGAATCTCTTTTCGGCCTATGCGTGCCTTCTCCCCTGTAATCAGCCGTGGACTTCGCTTGGCAGCGGAAGGATCGCGAGATGCGGCTTGCGAGGAAAGAAACAAAGAGACCGTGCCTCTCTGAGATGTTACAGAAGTATCGGAAAAAAAATCTGATTGTGATTGTGCTATTTTCGCGAAGAACGTTTATTTATTCCTGTATGATACTGTACATATAGGGTGACTATTTCCAGCGTCGATTGACTTTAACTATCGACAAAATTGCTATCGTGAATGAAATATCGTCTTGAAGGGAGAAAAAAGTTTTAATCTTTTTCTTCTTTCATGATATTTTATTCACGTTAGCAACTTTGTCGACAAGTTTTAACCGTCGGTTAAAATTAACCGAAGCTGAAAATAGTCACCCTTAGTAGCGGGGAGATTGTTACTGAAATATTACTAAAATCTGATCGATTGCTATATTTAATATTTAGTGAAAGTTTCCCCGGAATCATTTTAGTGTCATTTGTACCGTTTCAACATTCAAGCAGGCGAGTTCGAGAGAATCGTTCCGTATCGAAACGTTTTTTATTTCTGAATCACGATGAATATTGCAAGGTCTTTCCGCACGAATAATTACCAAATCGCAGTTTGCATGACTAATTAACTTCCGCAATTAACGACGCGTAATAACGAGAAGTATCTAAAGGACAGCTGTCTATCGCAGCGAGTATTTACGTAATTTGATCGCTCCGAGCGAGGATCGCGGCAAAATATTTTCGTCTGTAATATTTATTTCTAACTTTAATTCATATTCGTATTACATTCCAACACAAAATAATAAAAAATTCTGCTTTAAAATGCGGAATTTGCGTGAAATCAGTTGCAATCTTAGACGATGCTAACAAATCTAGAAGACACAAAAAATGTGATCTTTTAAATAAAAGTCCAAAATGTAGATAAATGAGCATACATTGTCTCGTAATACATTAAATATTTCAACGCTTAAATATTCGCGACCTTCGGTGTTTGTTTTTCCTTTTCATTGCGGCGTACGCGCACTATTGTCTGGACGCTTTCACCTTGTTATCATTCGCAGAAGGACTTTCGAGCAGACAAGACGCGACGAAAATCTCGCTCCGAATTATTACAATCTCTCAAATCACAATTGTAACAAATATTAAAAAATTGTTTCGTACAAATAATTGCCGATTCGTACTAATTTGCGTATACGAAAGCGTGGAAAGCTTGTGAAAGTAGTATAGATGTAAAATAACCGCGGCAGTATAACACAAAATTAACTGCGCAATTTTCGCAATTTTTCCTCCACCGTCATTTCAAACTAAAGTCCTATGCAATCGCGTCGTTTAAGTTATTATTTTTTTATTAAGTAACAAAGTATATTGTAATCAGTGCCGTGCAAAGTATCACGTGGCGATCGTAATTAACCGCGTTTTCGCGAGTGTTGCGCCATGAAGTATCGATGGATCATTGAAAACAGAAGACCCATCGGGCGAGAACAAAACAATCGTGAGGTAAGTTATTATTTATTTATTATATGCTATTTGTGTGATTTAATCCTACGATGATCACATTGCACATCGCATTGTTATATGATGAAATATGTATCAAATATATTTTTAATAATTTTATAATATTAAGAATATTCCGTGAAACCGCTATTTGCAATTAAGCATTAAATATTTTTCATACGTTTCAAATTTATAATTATTTCGAATATTTGTGCACTTGCATTACATTATTATTTATTAAACATTCCATTAAATTTATGTATGCAAAACTTTTTTTTTAATTGTATAATTCTTTCGTTATTAAATTATATTAGATATTTGTTTGAAAAACAAATTAGCGTTTCTCGAGAAAAGTATTAAATACGTATACTTCAAATACGTATATTTTTCTCATTTTTTTAGCGGACACATCGTAAGTTATAGATGCCATTGCATTTTATGATAGAATAATTAAGAGATAATAATCAGGTTTTTGGCTTAGCCCACTTATAATAATCAATAATAAATATTGATATACCTAATAAATAATAATCAGATATATTCATAAAGCGTTGTGTGTAAGAGAGACAGATTGTGAGAGAGAAGACAGGATTCATCAAGATGATTTTCCAAGATTAACGTAAAACATAAGCACATTTTTTCCAACAACACCATGATTGTTATCACGAATTAACCAGACATCAAAGCCCGCCTTGCGAACACAAGGTGGATGCGTTACGTCTCTATCTCGAGAGATTTACTTCCGATAGGCGCGCTCGTGAGAGAAATGTCTTGGGCCGAGATATACATCGCTCCGTCGTGCATTAAACGTCAAATTATCGTCGTCACTTTACTATCGTTATCCCCGCGTAATTAAATTATTTCCCAGAGCCCACCTGGAATTTAACTGGTTTTACCGCTTTCGTTGTATCGCGTCGATTTACGCACGAGGGCCGCGAATCTCAACTGCATAATTATAGGCACGATAATTCATCGAGCATGTACACACGCGTCCGCGCATACATACACGAGGCGACCTTAATAAGCGGCTTGCACCTTGGCGTCGGGATTAATTAGCGTTTTCCACACGCGCGTCGCTAATGGTGCCCCCGCGTTTGAAAGAGGGGGAAAAAAAGTGTCATCATTATCTTAAACACCGGCTTTCGGTAAAATCTGGATTTGCCTCGGAATAAATGGATAACAAAACGCGCCTGTCCTCCTTGGCACTCGCTTCCTTCTTCTTCCCTCCCCCACCTCACCCCCAATTCTCCACCCTTACTATTTTTCTGCTCGCTGGCGCTTCTAGAACGATAAATTTTCAGCGCTGAAGAAAGACTTTAGATGCCTGAAGGGCACGTTTTGCGCCGCTTTGTCCTTTCGACTCCTCTTTGCCTCCCTCATCCTGTTCCTTCCCCTGACTCTCTCTCTCTCCTTCTCCTTTCTATCGTTTTCTCGCCCTCTTTCTCACTCTCTTTCTCTCTTTCTTGCTTTTTTTTTAGACGTACCTGTCATCTTTTCTCACTCGCTCGCTCCGCTCTTTCTCGCTCCTGCTCTCATCCTCACTCGTCGCTCGTCGCTCGTCGCTTCTCCGCTTCTTCCCTGCAAATTTACAATGCCCTCGCTTGTAATAAGCGGTTGCGCGCTTCGTTCACGATTATGAGCTCACTTCAGGTACGGAGGGGACTTATCGAGTTAAGGCCCCGTCCGGAGCGCCGGGTGTAGGTAGGAATGTCCACGATACTTCAAAATGGGACTCTGTGAGAGAAATATACGCTTTGACTTGCTAATGCGATTTTATATTTTACGCACGATGAATTCATGCTCTACGCCGAAACGATATTCGCGCTATGAAAGTCGCTAGATAAGATTCACTCAATGCTCATTCCAAATTTTTATTCAAATACTTTTGTATGATTAATCTTGAGAATAACAAATTGATGCAATTTACTCCTAGATTTATCGTTTTACCCATTTATTCCAATATTTTATCAATTAATAACCTATGAAGTTAATTACAACATTTGTAAGAAGCGGCTATGGACAATTTGATATCATTCAGATAATCGCGTAAATTGTTTATTGCGTGATTATTCTCATAATAAACAAAATGCTGATTGATATTTAAACGACTCTGGATCTCTTTGTAAGCACTAACTTATAGAAAAAGCTAGTAAATTTCAAACTATTAACTACACTAACGTTTATAAGAACAGTAAGTAAAATTTCCATAAATACACGATTCGATGTAAGTTTCATAAATTGTGGAAAAATGTTAAACGTTTTAGAAAAAATATATTAGAGAAATAATATTATAATAATATAATATTATGTGATACATTTATACATTTATATAGAATATTTTTGTTGTGTAATTTTAATAGAATTATTGCAATATTATAATATGATATTATGATTCTATTAAAATTGCATAACAAAAATATTCTGCGACAAAAGAGATACTTTAGGTAGAATATTTTTATTATTCCAATACGTGATTGTATTGTTATATTGCAATAAGTTGTAAAGAAGTCAGTTCTCACAACACAAGTTTTCATTATTTTGAAGAAGTTGATATAAAAGTTTTGAAAAAGAGAAATTTATCAAGTTGCTCGAATAGCAGTGTCAGCATCATAGCTGTCAAGAAAACAAGTTGTTATTGAGAACACTCGAATTGTCTTACTTTTCAATTGTTTCTTACACGCTGATACCATCGTCTATCCGGAGATTAGAGAATCGAGACGTAGGAATGTACCCCACAAGGCGAAGGCACGCGATGTTTAGCATAAAGCGCATTGTTTAGATTTTTAAGGTCAAACGTAATCCAAACAAATCGTCGACAAAGTCAAGAATGACGCGATTGAACCCATATTTAAAATTGAACTCATATTTAAAATCTCGTGTTGTATTTATAGATTCATAGTAATTACATGCTTGATTATTTTTGAAAAATTTGTCTTACACTTTATGTTGAATCCAGTACTTCAAGAATGTCAAAAAATATCATTTGTTAAAATTAGTTTGACGAATTATGTAAAATTATATGGCCTTATATCTTTATAACTTTTATTACTTACAATTAGTGACAACAAAAAGTATACATTAGCTCCTTATATGTTCATTCTTGAAAATTGATTAAATATTACTAAATGGCATAAATTAATTTTTCTAGATTCACAATATGATATAAAATCAACATTATTTAAATAATTTACAATCGCTATACAAGATACACAAGTTGATTTATAAAACAAGGCAGTACTTTTTGATGTATCATTGTAAAATTTGAGTAAGCCATTATGCACCCTCCACATCTCGTGCCACACTTTCTCTCTTTAGTACACGTTAAAGATACGAAGAAGGACCGGGGAAGGTCTGCGGGAGGGGGTGGTAGGGTGTCAGCAGCGGTGAAAAATTCACCAATTAAAAAAATCTCATTTCTCCTGGTAACGAGGGGTGGCGAGCAATTAATGTCAGACGCGAAAATGATTTATGGCATGTGGGGGAGGGGAAGAACGTGGCCCGTGGGCGGCGCGGCCACGAGCTTATCATAAATTAATGAATTATCAGCGGGCGCGAGTAAGAAAGCGGGCGAGCGGTTCGACGAGAGTGCGAGGAAGAAAGCGAATCGCGCTTGCGATGCGTCAATGTGGTGGTCTAAAATATTCAACGGGCGCGCACCGGTGCTCCGAGTACTCTCCCTGTGCCATATTTATCCCGTCTAAAAGTTTCATGCCTACCTCAGTAACTTCCTCGCGAGAAGAACGTTGACTCATAAAAAAACACGAGAGATATGTAAATCGTGTTTGTGCGATAGTTTTGGAGCACAATATGGACGCATTGTGAACATTTCGGTCTTGATAGATAATTATTTTACGTACTTCGTGGATTAATAAGGTATTATTACATTAGGCGTCATTGACAATATATCTTGTTCGATGAAAACTGATCAAAAGCAGCATGATTTCAGCGAGTACAAGTTTCGATGTTCAAAATACGCAAATATATACTTTATAGAGCAACTGTCATCGCCTCCATTTTGTGTGCTTCATCACTATTCATATTATCCATGGTGGTTTTCCACCAAGAGACACAAGCGACACAAAAATATTAATATTCTCTAACTAATATTCTCTCAAAAATATTCTCTCTGTTGCTCATTGAATATCGAACAAAGACAGAGTGATACTTGTGTCGATTTATGTCAACTTGTGTCCTTTGCTGGAAAACATACCATATTAAGGTTAGAAAATATATATGATTTTGACTTACCGTTCTTCTTACATTGCGAGCATTGCCCATACATTCTCAACATAATTTCGATTTGCCCGCTGCCGCTGACCATTAATTAACAAGATGCGTGCAAAATTTCGACAAAAAAACATTAAAAATTGTCTAATAATGCGAGCGCGTTACGAGCTTCACACTCGGACTTGATGACCAATGGCAGATTTGAGTAAGAAAGGCCAATCCTAGACTAAGAAATAGAGAGAGACGAAACACAAGCTCGAGTAAAGTAACACGTTCGCGGCGGGTGGGGAAGGCCATATTTGTTTTCTAGTTACACACCATAGAACTCATATTTGTGCACGTGTAAGAAATGAAAAAGAAGAATAAAAGTTAAAACAGAAAGAATTTATTTCATACTTCTGACATTTAATATCTTTTTATATTTATTATTTACTAATAAATAAAATTACAATAAATAGGGCAATGTTATGAGTCTTTAAAAATTTCCAAATATTATCAATATTTTAAAAATAACATTTTATTAATATTACTTTTTTTAAATAACATTATATTAATTATATTATATTATATTATAATATATTATATTATAATTATATGTTAAATTTATATAAAATAAAATATCGCTTTCTTAAATAAAAAGAAATTAATAAAATGTTAAATAAAAACTAATAAAATTAAAAAAATAAACACATTAATAAAATTTTAAATTAAAAAAAGAATGTTTTTTCCATATTTTTAACATAAGCATTTATTGATGCTTATGAATTAGTTTAGTAAACTTCTGCCTATCCACTAATGCTTTTGTCGACAGTCTTAGAGCAAATGTAATTCAATCTAATTTTAATAAATTTTTTTATTATTGCTTCAATAAGATATATTGAATGAGCCTCTAAAGTATTTTGATTATTATTATGATTTTTTTAATTCTTAAATAATAAATTGCAATTTATTAATGATCATTTTATAGAGTTCAATAAACACTAATCTGAAAATTTTTTTAATAAACCTGACACTATACATTTAACTATTTTGATAAAAAGAAGTTAATTTTCTTAGAATTCTCTGTAATCTCTTCTCGTCTCGTAACACCACCGCACAAATGTAGGAATGTCACAGACATGTGTCTTTGTGAGAGAATGGAAACTAAAAGAACGAAAAGCAATTCTCCCCACATGCTTGAGCTATCGCCCCCTCACGCCTATACTAGGGTTTTAGGCCGGTATTCATAGTCCGTTCTTATATTTAAGATTGTCTTAAGCACGGACTTATATTCGCTCTCTTCGTCACACATAGATTGTGTCTGACGAAGAGAGCGAATATAACTTTGTACTTAAGACGATCTTGAATATAAGAACGGACTATGAATACCGGCCCTAGTGATCGCGTAGCAGTGGGACGTCCTTCTCACCGCGCGCGCTTTACTCGCGCGGATTCGCCGATCTTTTTTCGTTAATTACTCAGTATTTATTATGAAAATTAAAAAATGGTAAAGGACTTTTCTACTCGATTTGACCTCCTCTACCTGTATATGACCGGTGGGGCGATTATTGCCAGACACCCTGTATATACATATGGCTGCTAGATGTTTCTTAAGTAACTTATTTAAATCCTTTCACAATATAAATATCTTAAAGTAGATATTATATACGTTCAAACAGCAGTATAGCTGGAAAAGCTATCATAATTATTTGTGTGCAAAGATATTGGCATGAATTTTGAATTATTAAAATTGTGACTATAGTTAATAACAGACAAAAAATACAAATGTTTGAACCACGGACTAAGGAATAGAGGGACTGAGTCTAAAGTCCTAGTTTAGGCGAGAGGGGATGGTAATTCAAGCGTGCGGGGGGGACTGCTTTCCGCCATATTGATGTAGCAATTCTCACACAGAGATTCTGTGTCTGTGACATGGTTACACGCGTGTAGTGGTGCCACTAGACATAACGAGTGACAAGCGTAAAGAGATTAGGCGGTTTTATTATTGTTGTACTATAAATTTTATAAAATACTTTAACTTTTATTACTCTGAGGCTCTGCATACAGTAGACAAAATATTAGAAATAGCAATAATCATTTAATATTAAAAAGAGAAATTATTTTACATCTAACAAGAGAATAAAATATATTAATTAATTCCAATTCTTATTTCTTAATTCATGCATTAATTTTTTCTATTCTTTTTATTTTTAAAATAAATAATTCCAATTTCTTATTTCTAATATTTAATAATTATTCCTATTTCTATTTCCTATTTTGTTTATTGTGCGCAGGATCTGACTTTCATTTCTCACACATACGCAAATAGTG